AATATCTAATCAATCAAATATAAAATATTAGAAAAAAAATATTATTGCTGAAAATATGGAAAACGAAAAAAATTTAACAGTTATGAAAATATTAATCTGCCATTTTGAACTAGAACGATTCAAGCAGGAAGCGAAAATTTATGCCATTCTGGAACGAAGCTTAAAATGATCTAAATCTAAGAAGCAAAAAATAAATAAACATTATTTTTAAGGGGAATAATGTTTTAGCATTAGAATATCTAATCAATAAAATATGAAATATTAGAAGAAAAATATTATTGCTTAAAATATAGAAAACGAAAAAAAATTGCCATATGAAAATAATAATCCGCCATTTTTAACTAGAATAATTCAAGCAAGAAAGGGAAATTCCCGTCATTCCTTAAGGTGGGTAGGTGGAGGAGAAAAATTCATTTCCTCCTTATTTGTGAAAGAAAATAAATGTAAAGAGGAGATCATTTGAGTTGAGGGTGGGGAAGTAAATTATTGTTTTCTCTCCAATCATTGGCTATCAATCAAGCATAAATATGGGGCAGCTGATTGGGTTCTCTTTATTTTTTCTTCAATGACTGAAAGAATCTGCTAAAGAAAGAATGTTACCCCCTTTTTCCCCCCCGCCTCCTAAATATTACATGGCATGGGGAAGAACGAATGTTTTGTTTCTCAAGGACGTGTATCCTTTTAGACCTATTCAAATTTTCCATTTTGACTCCCCCTCCACCTTAACGCTTGCCCTGTTTACCCTTTTCCACAGTATTTCTTCTTTCAATAAAAAGGTTCCAGGAAATGCCTCTTTTACTAGCCACCTGCATGGGAAAGAAGGGGGGGAGGGGACTCAGTGGAAATGTTTTTTAAAACAAATCTCCCTCTTTTTCCTACATTCCAAGGGAAGAGCGTCACTAACGGTCACTCAATGGTCTTGGTAGATCTTCACTTCCCATTTCTGGCGATTTATGGGTTCAATGCATAAATCAGAGGTTCAGTGCAAGCTAGAAAAAGAGAAAATGTGTCAAAAGAAATTTTTTTTTTTTAAAGCAAAGGGGAAGATGGAGAGATGTTTGTTTATTTTGATTGTTAAAAAGTCTCCGGGAAATCGATCCTTCCGGGAAAGGGACGTCCGGATATGGGACGTTACACTGTAAAGGATTCTTTGTTTTAATAAATCTGTTCACAACAGGGTTTACATTCAATTATTTGAACAAAAAATATGCATATTCTAAAACTTCAATAAAATATTATAAAAGCCATCTATTAACAACTATATTAACCTCCAAGCACCTGGAAAAAATTGAAATGAAAGTTCATTGCGATGCATTACTTTCCCATTGAATAAAAAGGAAAACTGCTTTTTTAATACAGGAAAGCCAGCATCTAAAGTGCGCTAAAAAATGGGGCTAATACTCAAAAGATTATTACATAAATTTCAACAAAGATGCTTTTACAATTAAATTCATAAGAATACTTAGTAAAACATTCAATATTTTAAAATATGCCATTATGTAGATTTTAAAAAACGGATGCCGGCTTTTCAATATCAAGGTTTGAATTTTCTGCAGGTTCATATTACAAAAAGCGTTTTGTTTTAAAAGAAAAATAAACACATTCTAAAAACAGTGTACTTCTTAAATATTCTAATCTGTAAAATTGGTTACATTCATTAACAGAACTCAATATACTTAATTAAAGAAGGGTTTTAATAATTTTTAATTAAAAAGTAATTAATAGATTTCTTTGATCACCATTTTTCAAATTTTTTGATTATTAAATTATTATTAAGATAAATGATTTTAAATAAAGAGTACAAAGAAATTAAAGGGAAATTTTAAAACAAATCTTCATCTAAGATTTGTTACTGCAGTTTAACCAAACTGAACTACTAAATAAGAGAATGGCCATTTAAGTCACCTTTATAAAATTTCAAAATTTAACTGATGAAGTTTGACTTTTCCATAATATTCTTAAAGAGTTCTAAAAATTCTTTAAAAAAAAAGAAGAAATAGTTGGTAGAAAAGATTAAAATAACCAATCACTTTTGTTCAAATTTTAGTCTCCAAATCTAGCTGGGAAATCTTTGCAGTTACATATTAGTTATGACCTTTATATCAAATTAAAAAAAGAGAGAGACAATTAAATATGCTATAACATATTAATATGCTCAATAGAGAATTGAATGTTTTATTAAAATGGAAAACTAAATTTTCTATTAATATTTTACTATTCTAAAAATTTAAAAACAGCAGTAAATTTTTTTGTTGATAAATCTGATTATTTTGGTCTGCATAATTAATAAGCAAAATAATCAAGATTAGAATATAGCTAATAGTATATCAAACATATGCTATTCAATATCATTCTCTCAGATTAATGTAATATGTTTGATTAACAATTAATAAAATAAATCTACAAAGATTATTTTGTACTTATGGGTATGAGAACAAAAAATATTTTATATCAAACTAAAAAAAAAAGTTTCTATTTAAATTTGTCAAACAGATTCTTTACGCATTCAAATTCTTTACGCATTTAAATAACAATTAAAATTTATAACAATGAGATGAAAGACATAGAATACAATAAACTTGCAACTTAAAGAGTTCAACGTTTTTTTAAAAATTCAATTAATTTAATTTCACATTATTTACAGCTATAAGAAAATTAGTTTATAACATAGTTAAATTTTATAAATATAATTGAAAGATTACAAAGAAATAAAATCAAATTAAAATGCATTTCAAAGTATATTATCACATTAAAAATTGTTTTGTAGTAATTCATAATATAAACAAATACATGATTAAAATTGAATGAAAACAGAAGAAAAAAAAAATTAGCTCTTGAAAATAAACTAAAATTATAAAAAAAAATCACATAATTAATTTAACAGATCTCTTTTTTTGAAAAAAAAAATTTAAAATTAAAGAAAAAAAAATCACGATACCTTATATTTTAACTGCATATTGACAAATATTTTTATTCAATTTTTATAACTTACTCATTTATGAGAGAAAAAAAATCACACAAAGAAAAGGCAATTATAATTTATCTTTCAAGAGCTTTTCCAGGCTTCATTAGTATGATTTCCTTTCAATACTGTGGATATTTTAAGATGCAGAAACATATTTACAACATTAATTTAAAATTTGGTTTCGAAGCTCATGTTTTAAAATTACGTCTTTATCCTTCCCAATAATTACTTTTTGCAACTATATAAATAATGATAAAAAAAAACTACAGTACATTTTCCCTTTTTTATTAATTAGCATTCTGAAAAACCCTAAAAAGTTAAAACTTTGTAAAACGACATAAACGTAAAACAATCCTGTATTAAAATGCCTTTCAATTTCTTTAAACTGATGATTTCTTTAAAAAAATAATTTGATCGTTTTTTGCCTACTAGATAAAAACAATAAAATGTATAAGTACTTGATTTGTAATTTTTAGGAAGGTAAACTTAAACTATTGAGGAAAATAAATAAATAAATAAATAATTACAGTTAAAAAAAAACACCTTTACAATCTTGATTTAAATTTCTCACACCATTTCAAAAATTTAATCTGTCGAACTATTTGGAAAGGTAACAGATCTAAAATAATAGGTATAAATACCTGTCTTTTCATTATCCTTGAACTCCCACCAGTACCCTTTTGATGGGTGATATTGAGAATATGAGGAAGCTAGATATTAAACAGAAGGCATTAAAAACAGCAATTACACAGAAAACATTGAAATTTTACAATCTTAAAAGCACTAACAGTTAATATAAAGACCTTTCATAATTATTTAAATAACAACAGAAAAAATATGTATACTTAAAAAGAATCTACTAATTTATATCAAACAACAGTAAATATAAATAGATTGATTATATATTAATGTAAATTAAACAACTTTAAGTAAAAGTATTTAAAAGATAAAATTTGAGAAGTAACAAAAAACTCATGAATAAATTTTTTTTTAAGTGAAATATATTTTATAACCATCGTTGAACAGCTGACCCAATTTTTGGGTTTACGACTACTATTGTTAAACTCCGTAGCATTGTAATGTTGAACCCAATCAAGAAGACAAGGGAACTCCTGGATCAAGTACTGGGAGAAATTTTACCTTTGTGGAGGATTTTTTGATGGAACTAACCCGCATTCGAGTTATATGAAGAGGAAAACCACGAGAGCCTTCCACGGTTAGCTTCATGGCAAAGGGACTCTAACCCCGATCCGTCTACCACTGAGGATATTTCACGTCGGCATTGTGATCGGTGCAAGTCGGATGCGGATTCGTATCGGCCAGCCATTGTTGTATTCGGACCCGGTTCACCTCATTGGAAGGCAAATGCTCTATCCCCTGAGCCATTGCGGCTCAAGTGAAATAAATTGTACGAAATATGGAATATTTACTATAACAATAAAAAATATTACTCAGTTAAAAAATCAATAGCTTAACTATTATTCATTTGTCAAGCACAACTACTAGTGGGCTAACAATTATATCTATTATTCAGTAAAAAAATATTAAATTTCTCATAAATATTTTTGCATACATAATGGATTTTCAGTAATTAACACAGTGAAAGGCTCAATATATAATATATATATTTTGAATGGCAGACACTGAACNACTAGGGAACTCCTGGATCATGTACTGGGAGAAATTTTACCTTTGTAGAGGATTTTTTGATGGAACTAACCCGCATTCGAGTTATAAGAAGAGGAAAACCACGAGAGCTTTCCACGGTTAGCTTTACGGCAAAGGGACTCTAACCCCGATCCGTCTACCACTGAGGATATTTCACGTTAGCATTGTGATCGGTGCAAGTCGGATGCGGATTCATATCGGCCAGCCATCGTTGTATTCAAACATCGATGCTCTATCCCCTGAGCCATCGCAGCTCAAGTGAAATAAATTGTACGAAATATGGACTATTATCTAAAACAATTAAAAATATTACTCAGGTAAGAAACCAATAGCTTAACTATTATTCATTTGTCAAGCACAACTACTAGTGGGCCAACAATTACATCTATTATTCAGTAAAAAAATATTAAATTTCTCATAAATATTTTTGCATACATAATGGATTTTCAGTAATTAACACAGTAAAAGGCTCAATATATAATATATATATTTTGAATGGCAGACACTGAACTTTATTTGATTCACCTTAGAAGATGCCAGAGGTGTTACTCATTTCGCTTTACCCAGTGGGCACCTATGAACCTAAGTCACGAAGGCGAGTAACATTGCCCACACCACACTACCACAAACCCGTTCATAGGGTGGGCCACATTCACACACAACAGAGGACTACACAAGAGAGAGAAACATCCATGCCAAGAGCGGGATTTGAACCCGCAGTCATTGGCTTCACAGTCAGGCGTGCTAACCGCTCGGCCACCTGGCCGGCTCAATATACAATATATATATTGTTTAAAGTTTACAATCAACGAAAAATTTACCTTCATCAAATGCTGACTGCAGATGATGAACCATTGTCAGCTGAAAAGATTAATAAAATTTTAAGATATCCATGTTTTAAAACACAGAATAAAAATAAATAGACTAAAGCTTATATCATAGAAAATAAGTTCGAGATTTAAATTTTAAAAAGAGTAAAAAACACTAGAGTTTAAAAACTAAAATTTGTCTGCAATCAAAAAATAACTAAAGATAAATTTTAAAAAACTTCATTTCAATTTTTTCACTTTTTAGAACTTTTAAGATTATTAGAACTTTCAAGAAATTTAAAATTTAGTTTTTGTAATTCAGAAAAAGTAACAGAAAAACATTTTCTTACAATCACAATTTTTATAAAAATAATCCTTCAGACAAATTTATTAAAAGTTTACTTTTAATTAGTTTCACTATGAAAATGGCAACAAAAGGCTAGATAGAGAACTACAATAAATTAAAAACCGTGATATATAACTTAGCACTAGAACATGAAAGAAATCAATAAAATTCCAGAAAAATAAAATAACAATTTAGCTTTTAAAGGTTTTTGTTACATGTAAACCAATCAATACTAGAAAAGGAGGAAGACCAAGATTTAGGTGGTCTGACTGCTTAGAAAACGGATTTAAAACTATGAAAGTAATAAATTAGAAATTCTTGGAAATAAACAGGATGGCTTAGGATAAAATTCTGTGAAAGGCTAGGGTCCTGTCGCATCATTAACCTTTAGAGATAAAAAAACAAAGAAGCAAATTGTATTGAAGTCCAAATTCATAAATATGATCTTAAATGAAAGATAAAAAATCTTAATTAAAAGTATATTGTTCTTTCTCACAATCAATTAAAATTTCAAGCAACAAAGTTTAAAGATTTTAACATAAATCAAGACCATCTTAATATAAGACTATTACTTTAAGAGTAAAGGCTTGAGGTACTCTTTATCATTTGAATAATAGTCTGTAACAAAAAGCCTTTTATGCATGTAAAAATAAATCATAATATAAAAATAAATTTTAAATACCATTCGTGATCCAATAACAGAAGCTAAATCTGGTGCCTGATATACAACTCCGGCTAATATATAATAGTCAGAAATGGGTGTAACTAAAAGAAGACAAAAAAACTTACATTAGTTACATTGTGCAGTAAAGTGATAACAGTGAAGATATAAACAGATACATTTTTAAAATTCCTTACAAAATTGGTGAAGAAATTACTTAAAATGTAGAGATTTTACAAATTTTCAATTTTTATTCCTTATTAGAAAAAAAAAACTACAGCTATTGGAATATAATATTCCTCGTGTGGAAAGCAGTGTTTTAACACAATCAGCTCGTATAAATTCGAAACAGAAAAAAAAATCCTTTTTATAAGACGCTTAACGTTTTATATTTTTCAAAAATTAATGACAGACAACATCAATGAGGCTGAAGCACAGCATAAATTCAAGATGTCACTAGCTGAGAAAGGCACAAGAACCCATATTCGCATACATAAGTAGTTTTAAAAAGGTACAAAATTTCAAGGTACTATTTCAAAATGCAGGTTTCAATTTCAGAGCAGAAAGTCATAAAATGAGATGATAAATGCAGAAAACTTCAGCAAAGTCGGTAGCTATGCACATATGTAAAAGAATGTTGAAGATGTGACTGTTTAAATAGTATTCCAAAAAACTTCGGTCATGATCTCACAGAATGTATTACCAGTTTCGTGACAAAATTTTCAAAGTATTTACATCGATTGTAATTTTTTAAAATGTATTTTAAAGTTACATTGCATGACATAAATTTAAAAATTAAGTAAAGAAGTTACAAGTATTTATTATAAAGCATTAAAAATTTATTAAAACGTTTAGTTAAAACATAGTTCTGGAAGCAAACATTATCAATATAAATTGCAAACAACAAAATTAGCCAACATAACTATTAAATTGAAGTTGTTAGGACAGTATAGCAACAAGTCAGACTTTCTCGAAGGGTAACATTTTTAAAATAAACTGTTTCAAAGTATTTTGCCCAGATAAGCATTTGCTTCAAAAATTTCTAGGAGACAGCAACACTATACATAAAAACATTTTATTGTGTAGCATTAATTATTGTGGTGATTTTCACTAAAAAAAAAACATGGAAAAATGTGCGGATTAATATATTGCTCTAAGCCCTACAATTTTCTAATTTCATTTTTAAAAAAATTCCTGAAAACTTACCTTGATTCGGAGAATGCCGATGTTGCTTCCTAATGACATATAAAATTGGTTCTTGTACATGTAGTAAACAATATTCCAATCCAATCATATTTCTAAAAGAAAAAAAAATCTTAATTAGGAACAAGTAATTAAAAAAAGCGCAATATATCAAAAGTAAAAGAGAATCATTACCCTAAATGCTCCGGCCCTAGCCTTTGCATTTTTAAGTTCTCATTGTTACAGGTACGATCGTAGAAGGGATTTGTTCTCTCTGAAAAATATTCCATAACATTTGCAGTATTAAGGACTGGAATCCAAGAGCTATCGTGCCAGGAAATACTTAAGGGATTTTCTGAAAGTAATCCATATTATTATTGACAGGGAACACTGATTAGTATGAACAGTCATCATAATACTCATAGAAGGATTAAAAATTAAGTATAATAAATTTAAGGCTGCAGAAGCAGAGTTGAAAAAAATTTTGCAGGTGACAAAAAGATTGGCCAAAACTTGTGTTAGATTAAATTTAAATCTTATGAATTAAAAATAGAAATGAGCCAGAAAAATTTGTACTGATATTTATAATGATGAACTAACACTTCATTGTCCTGATTAAAAACTTCATTTGCTTCAAAAATAGATATCAAATATGTAATATATAAATGTATTTTTGAATCGAATGAAGTTTTGAATCAGGTATTCTTGGGATTATTTATTTAATACTAGGGTAAACTAACCAGTGAAGGAACACTTAAGCTTCGCTTGCCTTTTAAAAAATCATATTAATTTCAAAATTCGTAATTTTAGTTAAATGACAGTGACAACATATTTGCTACTAATTGCAAATTATGTAAAAAAATTGTAGAGAACCAACATAATATTATTTTAAAGTTTTGGAGGTTCAAATAACAAGTAGTAAGAAGACCAAGTGAAGGAACAGCTCTTACCAGTGAAGGAACACAAAATTTCCCAGTGAAGGAAAACTTAAATTTGGTTATTTTTTAATGCTCTTTATGAACTTATATGCCATACAAATATCTAAAAAGAAGCCTATTCTTGAAATTATAACATACAAATACGTGGAAAATGTTATCTTTTTTTTGTAATCATGAATTGAAAAGTAAAGTGTCAACATATTAACACATACTTTTCATTCACTGGGAAATCTATGCCCAGTAAAGGAACATGCCTGTTCCTTCACTGGTTAGAAGTTGTTTTTCGTATTTTTAACATACTTTTGATGCGGAACATCACTAAAGGTACAAGAAAATTAAAGTTTATCTTTTATTTTCATTAACTTAGAAAAAAACCCAGTAAAGGAACACTTGTTCCTTCACTGGTTTTTCATCGTTTGGTGATCCAGTGAATAAACACCCCCTTATCTCAGTACTTTATTATGCTATGATGCTTAAAAAAAATAAAACGTAACTTCAATAACTATATTTTGAATTCTTATTTTCACAGTGAGAAAAATAAAACTATTACATGCAATTAATTCCACTTCAAACATATAAATATAAACACTCTCCTTATAACTTTTTCAAAGAAACAAGGTGTTGCAGAGATAATAACAAATTTAAAATTTTTTCCAGAGAAGTCTATGTGACCAGGTAATCCAAAACATTGCTAGATGACTTCCTATTGTTTGGCAGTAAGCTATTGTTACCAATCAATCTAAAGAAAAACTTTCAAATTCTTATTTTTAATTAATATATATGAAATGTTTCTTCACTGGGTAGTGTTCCTTCACTGGTTGGTTTACCCTACAATTATTACAAAAATTACAAATATTGAAAAATATTACTACTTTCCTCGAACCAAGAATTAGGGGAAAATTTAAAAAGTTCATTAAATTAAAAATTCAAGTTCTAATCAAAGTAAAATATACCCTGAAAAGCATACCCTAAATTTTATCTATCTATCTATATATTTATATATATTAGAAAGTTGTGACTCGTAACTATTTTTTCAATCTCAGAGCCTATGCTATTATCTTTCGTAAAACTTATTTTAATATCGCGTGAAGTAATTTACTACTTCAATACAAAAAAAAATAGTCCTAATAAACTGAAGCGAAAAGATAATTCGTTGACTTCAATAAATATGACGTTGATAATTAAAGTAGACCATTAAAATACATCGAATGAACTGGGCAGCTCACATTTTCAGAAGGAATGATGACTCAAATTAAAAAAAAAATCCTGTTACACAAACCCCTAACGAACAGGAAAAGAGGTAGACCCAGGCTGAGATGGTTGGATTTAGTTGAGACTGATTTCCTTACTCTAAAGGAGAAAAACTGGCGAACAAGTGTCAAAAGTAGAGAGAAGAGGATTCGAATTCAAAGGAAGGCACTGGCCCAACCTGGGCTGTCTAGCCAGATATGATGATGAATTAAAATAGACATGTTTTGAGCGTTCAAAAATTCACGTCAGAAGGCAAGTTTTGAGAATGGGTGTCTATTTTTGAGCATTTGAAACATGTCCACTTTTTCCATCTTCATATTTTTATGAAGACACTGTAAATTATACTGTTACATTTGGTACTTTGCTAAGAATTCTATGCACGTAGAACTTCAACATATCGTGAAACATCCACATTTTAATATTTTTAAAACGGTTCGTGCAGTCATTTAAAAAATACGAGAACCGAAAGCATCAGTATCGTAATTAGGTTATCTTCAACTTTGAAACTTGATATTTGGAGTTAAGGAAATTAAATTTTGTGATGAATGTAAAAGTAATAAAATACATTTTATTTTCTTAGTTTTGCTGCTACCATTTCAGCATATTAAGTTAATGATCTTACAACTAATGTTTAAGAGGAGAGTGCCATATCATATATACAGTCCTGGCCAAATTATTCGACGCATTATAAGAATCTATGTAAAATCTTAATTATCAGGTGATACTATTACAGCTTTATTGTTTTTACGCGGCTGAAACCGGTTTAGACTTGTTTATGTTCGTGTATCAATTCACAGAATATTTACGATGGCAAAATAATATAATGCAATTTATATAATTTTGCCATCGTTTTCATTAACTTGTGACACGGTGCATTGTCTTGATGAAACAACACTTTCTTCTTCTTCAAATGGGGCCGTTTTTCTGCGATTTCGTAGTTCAAACGCTCCAATAACGCTATTCATACACGATATGTCTAACACTTTCCTTTGATATCTTTAGAGTCTCAGATATTTTGATCAATTTCACATTACGGTAATCTAAAATTATTTTGTGGACTTTTTTGATATTTTCGTCGCTAACAGCCTCTTTGGGGCGTCCACGGTGAGCATCTTCGTCGGTGTTCATTTCGCCCCGTTTAAACTTAGCAAACCACTTCTCAATGGTTGATTTTCCTGGTACAGAGTTCGAATAATGTTTCTCAAGTCAAGCCTTGGCTTCAAGAGTATTTCTTTTCGCTAGAAAGCAATGCTTTATAAACACGCGAAATTCCTTTTTATCCATTGTTTTTAAACTAACAAAAGTTGCTTCACTAAAAATACTATATCTCACAAACTGTTAGTCCGACAGCTGTCAAATTTATGCACGTGTCTTTCAAAGGTTAGAACTAACTGAAAATCATATGTTTTTAATAATAGTAGCCCCATCTATGTGTCAGCCTACGAACTTTTCAGCCCAACTGTTACAGTATGTGAAGAAAAAAAATTGATGTCAAGGAATTTTTGTTATTGTGCCATAAAAAATCTAGAAATATTTTGGCCTTAAATCGATTTATTAATGAACAAAAACAAAAAAAATTGGATTTTTCTCGCATTGAAAAGTATAATATTTAACACACATTTTGTTAGAAAAAAAAGTTAGTCATTGAACTTTGTAATTGTACCATGAGAAAAAAAGAGGAATATTTTAGTGGATATAGAATATTTTAGCGGAAAACCTATTTTTTTTTAAATTAATGATCAAAAACAAAAAAAAAACCCTCTTGGTTTATGTCATGTTGAAAAGTATTATGTTTAATATTAAGCGGGGAAAAAAAATTACGTTGTAAAATTTGTGCTTGTACTGTGAACAAACTCTTGAAATTTCTTTAAAAAAAACTACTTATTTCGAAATACTTCGATGCATATTTCCTGTATTTTAAAAATAACGGCTCCCAACAAAAAAATGTACTAAGCATTAAAAACGTATGAGCCACCTTCCAGATTTTCGTCAATTTATTAAATTAAATCAAATATTAAAAGGTTTTCTTGTAAGCTTATTTTCTTCGTACTTTTTGTCCGAAAACATAAAAAGAAAATTAATTTTAGAACATGGGCTTTGAAACAAAAAATATTCATAAAAATCTGTGAATTAATGGCCACGGATATTGAGCAAGTTGACATGGAATAAGCCTACATTGATAAAAGTATATATAATCGAACTTCGATTCATCTTTTTCCCGTTACGTTTCCCACTTTGTGTTTTCCCGTTTATGGGTAGACTGTATTAGAGGGTGCCCCTTGATTCTCGCCAAGTTGTGATCGCCAAGCTGGGCGATGTTGAAACTCAATCGTGATTCTGATTGGTTTAGATTTCAGCGTTATTTTTTAATGTTCAACGGTATATGTAATTTCAGAGGTCCGTTAGTTCTACGTTGGATACCGACTGGTAAGGTTACTTTTGAATCTGGTCAATAAGATCGAAGGTATGTGGGCAGTCATAAAAAAGGAAAAAATGTCACCGCTAGTCCAGTATTGCAGACGCCATTTTCGATTCGTATTTCGTCGAATTTATGTGGCGATGGAAGTAAACAGATTCTATTTAAACACATATAAATTTAGATAGTATCTAACTGTTATTAGATAATTCTGTGCACCTGAATCTGAGAATATTCAAGCTTAATGAAGAAGAGAGTTTTTTTTTTCTTCCTTTTCTTTCTGCGCTTACTCCATTAATTTTTGCTTCAATTCAAAACCCTTTTTATTGGGTTTATTAATTTTGCTTATATTGTGTTCATTGCAAGTTTCGGTCGATGTTTTGTTGAAATTTTCCAATGTTTTATTGAAATATCATTATGCTTTGGCCACCATTCCTGTTACCACGGTGTTCCGCGCAAACAGGAATAGCGCCAAACATAAGTCGCTAATTTCGCCAAGGGGAACCCTCAAGCATATTTTCACCCCGTTTATAAAGTCAACATTTGAGGGTCAGGCACAAAATGCTACGAAACGAACTAAATGGGTTCAATGGTATCAATACCCATTTATTTCGTATGAGATCAAACATCCGTGTCTATCGTTCAAAAATTCTACCAACATAAAAATAAAATCAAGTTATTTACTTTTTAGGAGAAAAACAATAACAGTTATAACCAAAACCAGAAAAACAACGATCAACAATTTATGTA